CAAACTTTTCCTTCCGTGTGTACTTTGGGCAACTAAATGCAATATTCTTTTGAAAATGTAACATATGTTTAGATAGAAGACAGTTTATCTGTGTACATAATTGTTCATCTCCTCAAATTGTATAGTACTTTTATTTTGTTAATTAATTTTAAAGATATACTATGCTCATCCATGAATAAAATATTTTTGTCACAGAAATTTGTTGAAATCTATAATAAAACTCTTACTAAATATGTCTAATCTGAAGTAAAGAGTGTATAATATGGATGATGCGTTCCCTATTACAGGTCAATTAAAGTTGGTCCTTTTCTTCAAGAAACTGCCAGTCTTTTTATAGACACTATATCTATTCATATTGTGAACACCTTTGTAGTGTGTGTAGAGTTTATTATTACTGTGTGAGTAATCAAATAAGTTCAATTTATATTTACAAAGATATTTTGTATCAATAAACAGTATTTTCTAATATCAAATTTGAGCATAGTATATCTTTACAGAAATGTAACATAGTTTATCGAGTAAATGCACTACTAAGATAATTGTATCTATATCAAATCAATCATTGTTATAACAGAATGTTGTATCATAGTTTGGAGACCTTTCTGTTGAAAATGTGTCAGGGTTAAATCGTATACATAAACATGCACAGTGCGTTAACTGGAGTGCGGGTATTAGTTACCCGCACTCCAGAGCATGCCCATTGATTGGCTCATTTTTGCTGGGGTTTACATATTGTGACGGCAGAGAAAGGGAAAGCGACAGAAATGTCATATTCAGATGTTCGTTCATTGGTTCATTTTTGCCGGGGTTTCATATTGTGACAACAGGGAACGTGCTTTTATGTTTGACTATGATACAAAAGAGAAAGAACACCAAAACACTCGGCAATCTGATTAATACTCGGGGGCTACGCCTCCTCGTACAAATCAGATAGCCTCGTGTTTCGGTGCTCTTTCTATTACTTATTCTACCAACTATTTTTTTTTCCTTGTCTAGGATGAAGTTGACACCAAGATTGTATAAGAAAAATGGAATTTATTTTCCCCATCAGTTTTCTCGGTAATAAGAAAGAGGTTTGTGATGCAAAGTAAATTAATGTTAATACACCGTATTGTATTTGAAAATCACACCAGTTAAAGGATTATATTATAAACTTGTTCAGATTTTATTTTAGTTTAAACTTTATAACTTCCTTGTAAATTAGACAGGTAAAGGTAGTCAGTTGGTATACTACAAACCTGAATAAAATGTCGGATTTTACATGTTTATTTTATATCATCTTATGGATATCTTACACTCAATGTAATTTACTTTTTTTATTTTATCTGTATACAAGATAAGCCGTTTTATCATACTTATAAGCAGGGCCGGTCCTTTATGTTTTCTTCTAAGGCAGTAGGAACCGTATAAAACATATGTTTTTCATTTGCTGGTACATGTATATCTCTATTAGACTCCTCATACACAACTTAAGTATAGGTTTAAAAACGTCAAAAAATAGTTTAAAAGACTGCAATCTAATCGCTACAATCTAGCAGTTTAAAAAATTTAATAATACCAGACGGCAAAATCTTTTTTATTTTACGTCTTATGTTCGAAAGAGAAAAGGGGAAAAATTACATAAAATTTTAAACAATTAAATACATTTTAGAAATTTTTTTTTAAAGGAAACCCCTTTCATTTTATTTTTTTTCCTTTTTTTTTCTTACATCAGAATTTTAACACTGTCTTTTTAGCTTTTACTGTTATTCCATATTGTCTTTGAATTGACCTGAGAAAATTTTTAATTTGTCAGGTTTTTTTCGTTTGTCCTAATTTGTTTTGTTTTTCCCGTTTTATTTTCACGTTTTCCTTTTTAAATTAAAAAAAACCCCTTTACCCCTGGTACAATTGAAAAAGGGTAGTTAAAGTTCGAATCTTGAACAAACATTTTTTTTAGTTTTCATAAACAATTTTTCTTATTTCTGATAATTATATTGAACACTACTTGTTACAATATGTGTTTCATTTCTAGCATTTTTATTCGATTTCATCATTTTGATGAACACATTCTTTTTTTTCTTTTCAATAACTTTAATATGTAAAGTCGTACAATGAGTAATACGCATGCATAAAACATAGTGGTCAAGTTTTGTAAAATATAATAAAAAATCATACAAGAAATTTACTTTGGAATCCGACAACAAGTCATTAAAAATTCAAATGCATCATCTCAGGATTATAAAAATAGCCAAAAAATATGTATGTGTTGTAACCTTGTACATTCTTTATTTTGGAAGAAATATATATGTATCTATCGTCACAGTCCGAGCTTAATTGATTTATTTAAAGTAGCGAAATATAACTGTTACCAAAATGCATATATCGCATATTGATATGCCATGGAAAATGATTGGAAATACCGTGTACACACCAAAATAGAAGTAAGCAAGTCTTTCCTAAAAATCATCATAAAGTATTAAAAATATAAAAACAAAATAACATAGCTTTGGAGTAAGAATAATCTTTGAAAATCATGACTAGACTATCGTAGAAATATTATATAAACATATTTTGGTATCTTTTACAAACAGAAAAAGTAACCAAATGTAAAAAAAAAAAAATGAATGAATGGAGGAAGGAAGGAAGGAAGGAAGGAAGGAAGGAAGGAAGGAAGGAAGGAAGGAAGGAAGGAAGGAAGGAAGAAAGGAAGGAAGGATTCTGTCTGTAAACAATTATTTATCAAAACTATTTGTTTTATGTTTCAGCTTCTTCAAGTCATAGTAAATGTTATAATGTTTACTACTTACAAATAGTTGCATAAGCATCGATTGCTTTTAAGTATAGACTATGGAGTTGTGATAAAGAATTTAAAGTTTTGAAAAATGTTTAACGTAAACAAAGTTGCGTGTGTCCTTGGTTACATTTCAAAAGCCATCCATTGTAAAATTTAAATGATATAGACATGAACTAACATACATATTAAATAATAATTAATTTACAATTCAATAGACGTGTTATGCTTTATATAAGTAGTAAATCACACAATGAGCAGCATCTGTCACTTTCACATTTACAATCCCTTAGATTATCATAATTGAAATCAAAATGGTCGAAAAATGGACAATTTCAAGACAAAAAAAAAATGTTTGTTTGTTTGATTGATTTGGTTTTACGTCACATCGACACAGTATAGGTCATATCGCGACGTTCCAGCTTTACTGGTGGAGGAAGACCTCAGGTGCCCCTCTGTGCATTATTTCAAGCACGAACGGGCACCTGAGTAGAACCACCGACGTTCCGTAAGCTAGCTGGATAGCTTCCTCACATGAAAGAATCCAAGTCCCTGTCGGGATTCGAACCCACATCGGTGAGGGGCAAGTGGTTTGAATTCAACGATCTTAACCACTCGGCCACGGACGTCACCTCCCCCCCCCCCAAAAAAAAAAAATAAAAATGACAAAATATAAATGTTGCACGCGGAATGACAGTAGTAATAAATACATGCATGATATTGTCTACTTTCACTTAACAGAAACCGACATTCAGATATGAAAATTGCGATACTTTGAATTGAGAATCCTCATATAATTATGTAACTACATTTAGCGTAGAAAGTAAGATAGAATTAATTCTAAAGAGGACAGGAGCAGAACTCGAAGTAATCTGACTAGAAGCAATAAATACAAAATAATGCAAAGTCATACGTGTATCATGGTTAACTGTTACAGTAGTTTAATTTTACCACCACGAAATTTTCTCAGTACAAAACATTAACAAACTATCAGTCTGCGTAATAAGTATTTATTACATGCTTTTCGGTGGTTTATAGAAATATATCAGTGAAATAAAAATGGTAATTTCACTGTTTTAAACAGTGAAATTATCAATTTGATAATTTCACTGTTTTGAATTTAAGCCCCTTACGTTGTTTCAGTGAAATACCAGCGTGCACAGTACTGGGAACCAACTTTATGACGTGACGTCGTAAATGACGTCACGTTGTATTATTATTTGGCGCGCTTTTCATTCAGTATTAGGTTTAATGTCTTTTTAAATCGTTTCTTTGCATATAATAAAAAGAAAATTTGTTTAGTTTAATGTAAGATCGAAATATATTTCACCTTGTGAACACCAAAAGTTCATATTTCACTCGTGGCTACACCACTCGTGAAATATACCTTTTGGTGCTCACTCGGTGAAATATATTCCGATCTTACACTGAACTAAACAAATATCCTCTATCTATTCTTTGGAATTAAATAACGATTTATTAATAGTAACAGATTCACAACTGCAGTTAATTTCGTTTTAAGACTCAAAGGTTAGTTGAGATGGCTTTGTTGGACAACTCACTTTTTACCCCAAATTCCAACAGTACTTAACCCAATTTCCAACAGAAATGGGATAAGACTTGTGTAAAATATATTTGATTTAATAATCGCCCTTAGCCTAGTTACTTAACCATTTCACGATCGACTGTTTTTTCTGAAACTTTGTACAATGCAGCATTTCTAATATTTGGTCTTTAATCATCTTATAAGGCCAAGAGAATTGAACCGAATTTTTAACTGATAATTAATTTAGTCGAAGTAAGCCTTCTGAAACATACAAAAGTGAAACAACCAAAGTTTAAAATGTTTGTTGAAATATGTGTAATTTTCTGTTTCTTTCTTCTCTTGCATTACTACTCTAATCATACATTTTCTCACAAGGAAAACTCTAATCTTTCATTATTCCAAGCCAAACATTTTTACTGTATAAAAGCATGGTGAAATCTTTTAATATCTTTCAGAATTTACAGCAATGTAATATATGCCCATTTAATTTTGTTTCAAAGCATGACCCCCTTGGTGAACGGTTTACTTTAAAATCATAAGATACATAATTTAGTGTGAAGCTTTATTACATTTTTTTACCAAGAATCATTCAACCGCTAATAAAATTAACGGCTATTTACTTAAATTGTTTTTAATCAGAAGCGTCTTTACGTAATGTATAACTTCTTTCTTCAGCTCAATAAAATGTTACCGTAAAAGAAAGTTGTATCAAAATAAAGCTTTATGTTTAAAATAGTGCCCACTACTGGTTTATATTTGATTATTTTATGGATTTCATTATCTGAAGGTAAAAATCTTATTATTAAGCTTACCGGTCTTTTTTAGTGTATCTTTTTCCCCAAAATGTATAAGATGAATCATTGTCGAATGAAATAAGTCACAGTGAGTCAGTTTTTAATAGGGAAAGTGCAATGTATATTTTACAGAAAGTTAGGAAGTGTGTTTCAGGTGACATGTATGAGTTACTCATTGTTCTATTTCAAAAAAGACCGTACAATAATGATGAATATATTCTACATATCTAAAAGACTTGATATTTATCACGAGTACTTAAGCCTTTTGTTTGCGGGCGACAACTGTTTTTACCCATGCGACCAGTACAGATCATGGTCTGAGCTGTTTGCTATTCAGTCTGTAAATATCTTGGATTTTCTTCAAAATTGATGAATTGTTTCGCTCAGTTGTGTCCATTTAAGATTTGTATCGTGGGAAAGGCTTATTTTCGTTTTAAATTCAAATGTATGGGATGCTTTATTACCATGTATCATGTATCGCATTTTGTTTGTTAATGGTTGTAATAAATACGTAAAATATAAACGCTTGAAATAAATACAAAGTTTACGAATCCGGAAATGAATCTTTACATAAATTATTATTTATTATTCAGAAGTTTGAAAACATTGTAACATTAGATGCGTACTATTAAGACTGCTAACTAGTGAGTGTTTTGTTGTGTTGTGCTATACGAGTATGATACTTTACTTAAATGTTTCTGGTTAACAAATAATAAACTTCAGCACAAAAAAGTACATTTATTATAATAACTACATTAAAGTTACATTTAGCTACACAAAACATTACATTTGGTTTAAAATTCGAAGGACGTTTCTATTTTTTGCATAATTAATATGAACATGAACGAAGTTACTTATATCGGCATCAGTCATTCTGTCATTGGTTTTAGTGTATGTTTATGTCTATGTTTGAAGGATGAAAATAAGTGTGATAAAATGATATAAACTTATCATTGATTGAACGCTTCGGCGTTAAGAAATTGCTTTGCAAATTTGTTTGAGCTTCCATGACGTGTCTGGCTTAATTATGCATTTAAATCTTGATGACACAAAAGGCAAGAGTATGAAACAAAAATTAACTTTACGTTGTAGGTGCTGAATTTATATCTTCAAATGAGACAACATGGAAAGATATAACTACAATTTGCCAGGTTGCATTGCCCGAGATAAATTACGAGGCATCAAATAACAGGGAGGAATTTATTGTAGACTATACTGGAAATTTTGAAGATGAAGATTTGAAAGAGGGTGTATGGGTGGGATACTATCTATCTACTACGCCGTTTGAGTATATTGGTAAATTTGAATGCTTCACTGCTAAAGTTGTAGTAGTTTAAGTTTGTCAAACTTTATTAAAAATGAAACTTAACAATGTTTTAGCTTCGAATCTTATGTTTTGAATCTAGTTCTGTTTACCAATCTTAATTGTATATATACCTGATATAAATATTCTCCTTTGGCTTAACTGTTCTTAGTTCTCTCTCACGTCCCTTGCATACATAGTATTCGAACAAAAATAGATCGTTTTAATTGACAATTGCAAATACGCAACAATACCCGGTAATATAACCTAATTTCATGTAATTATAACATCAATATCTAACTTATATTGAATTTATTGACTATTGATTTTATATATTGCAGGCTGTACACAAACTGGAAATAGAACTGCAACATCTCGGTTCGATAAAGACATTCCAGGACTTTGTTTTTCAGCTTGTAAATGGAAAGGAGTAATTGGCATCAGCAATAGGCAGGTACGGAGTAAATTGGTATGGTAATTGTTGGCACCTTCAATCCAATGGCATGTCTTACTTCGATTATCCCTTCAGTTCCGTAAGGTGTTTTGCACTTTGATGACCAGTCACTGTAGGTGTCAATATGAATTCGCAATTTATGCGTATATACAATATAAGCGCTGTCGACAAATGAAGCAAACATGGCGGGCAGTCGGCAAAAGTAGAAAATCAATCCTTATTTTGATAACTATCGCATACCTAATGTCTGTTGAGATCTATATCACAAAGTAAGCATCGTCACCAAAACTAATAAAACCACTGTCACTAACTTTACAAAGTCAACTGCAACGCATATCAGGTCAAATGATAATCTCACTGGTGGAAAAATTTCAAGTCGTTCTCAAATTGTAGTCAATTCAATCAATGATATGCTATTTTTATCTCTGGTCAAATCGAATTGATGTTATTTTAACACTTATCATCTACACATTTTCCAAGGAGACATGTAAAATTATCATTAAAAGCAACAAATTTTCACAGTAGTCTAATATATATTTACATTTTTCATTGTCGACATTGAAAGTTATAACGTCACAAATTTACATTAAGCTTATACAGTAAACTCCGCTTATAACGAACTCATTGGGACATTCAAAATATGTTCCTTATATCCGGAGTTCCTTGTAAGCATATAGCGAATTAGTTCCTTGTAACAGAAGTTTTTATAGAGAACAGTTTTACATATAACGAACTAATTGTTTACCGTCGTCCTCCATTTAGAAGAGCATTTGATTAAGAGAAATAACTCTTGGGTTCGTCATTGTTTTCTCCCTTATATTGATTCAATAAAGAAAAAAGGGAATAATTGCAATGTTGTTTCTTTTAATATTTTTTATGTATAAATATATCTATAAGATAATTATATGATATGTACCATATATGCAATATTGTTATTTATTAACGATACAGTATCATGCACAAAAATAATCACTTTGCTTTGAAGAAGTCGATAATTTTAGTTTGGGAATGTTTACAACTCTTCAGGTTAAATTAAATATCCAATAAACTTTTAAAAACTGTTTCTTCAACATGTGCATTAGACTCGAAGTATGGCCTTATCTTGTGCAAACAATCAATAGTTTCATTTTTTGACACAACCGGCAGATCATCTATTAGTAACTTGATTTCGTCTTCGGAAGATTGACTGTCATCGTCATTATTTGTTCCTAATATATCCGCTACATTCGGCCAAGTTTTAATATGTGCCTATGAAAACGAAAGTAGAAAATGCGTGATCTGTTTACGGATAGCCGATATTTTTGGAGTTCGTTATAAAAGTGTAATTTTCTGTACTTTTTATGGCATTGGGACTAAAAAATTAGTTCCTTATAAGCGATAATTCCTTATAACCGTGTTCGCTGTAACCGTAATTTTTTACATTAAATAAAGAAGGGCAAAATTCGGGCCAAAATATTTTGTTCCTTATAACCGGAAGTTCGCTATAACCGTGTTCGCTATATGTGAAGTTTACTGTATACGCTGAATTATGTCATTGATTATTAACATTGAATGATTGATATATGTCCGAACAAAACAATTAAAAATAGACGAAATAAATAAATGTATTGAAAACAAAGGCCACTACTTGCTGTTTTATTCTTAACTGCATAACTCACTGACATTTGATCAGCTTTAAAGAGGCAAGTATATGACAGCATATATATGTAAATATTGACATTAAAAAAAGTTTATTCGGTTACTGTTAAAAAAAGATCTTATATTTGTGTTTTTACATATTAAATGTATTCAACTCGTTGTTTCAGCCAAGTATTTAATCAACTCGTTTAATAATTAATATAGGAAGGCATCCGTCCAAAAAGAAGGTAGGCTAAATGTATATACATGTATGTTTAAAATTAAGCTTCATTATCATCGATTTTGTTTACGTTGCAGTGCTATTGCTTGAACGATATCAACGGATTAGACATTTCCGAAATTAATTGTACAAATGGGTGTAATGATCAGCCTGATATGGCATGTGGTGGAGAACATCATATATCACTTTACAAAATTTGCCTCACTGGTGAGTTAAATTCAATGCATCGTATCAGAAGTTGCTGAAGCATGGTGACTTTTATATATAATTATTGAAATATTGTAAAAAGAACAATGGTAGAATGATTGTTTGTGGACACCAAAATACACGATGTTTGAATAGTTCATATTCTTTCAGTCACAACACACTGCATGACTACAATTCATGGTAACTATCATGTATTTTTTGGACCTGTTTAGAAATAAGCTCATGACAAAAGAATTATATTGTATAAATATCAAAGTTGATACTAAACATTTTCTTATAATGTATAGATTTATGAAGTTAACAGATACAAATTTATGTTTATAAAAGAATACACTTATTTCTGTCAAAGTGTGCCTTTCTACATAGAAATAAAAGTAAACATAAGCACAAATGTAAAAAAAAACTGTCTGACAACGAAATTCTGAATTAATAGTTTGCCATCTGTTAATATAAAATGGAATAAAAATAAATTTACAATTGAACATGAAGATTTGAAAAAGGTAAGATCTAGTATCGAACACTTTTAAGTCATATATTTATAAACCTTTAAAGTGACATTTAATAAATTTCATAAAAACAGAAATAGGACATTTCATTAATAAATTGGGTTTCACATCGACTCCAGATCATATTTTAGTGTCCAGACAACCAAAATGAGTTTTATAATCATACAATCTGCAACCTCATTGTGGCGAAATCGTAAGTACAACTTCTGTTTGCATGTGAAACTCCGCCTTCAGATCATCCGTACTTCAATATTAAATTAACAAACATGACTATAAGTAGCAGTCCAAATTTAACGGAGATGATAACTTTTTTTATAAACCCCAGGCCTAGTGCACCGTGAAGCTAAAACGGTTAAAGTGTGTTTGCACAAGAAAATCTCATATTGGCTGTGTCCGTATAGCAACTTTAACACTGTGACGTAGCGCATACACAAGCTGATTATAGTCTATATTTGCATCTTAAAATTCGTATACGAACTTTAGTGTTACCGTGGGGGTTTCCGTTAAAAATGTAATTATGAACAGTAAGTGATGAGTTTTACAACAATACTTTTAAAAAGATTAATGAAATTGTAGAATGCTTGGTCTTTAGGCCGACGGCAAAATATTTTTACATATTTATGTAATGTTACAAGTGATCACAACAATTGCGATTTTGTTACGAAGGTTCTGTATTTCGATAACAGTAAAACATTGCTCAAAATAGCATTTGATCAAAGAAAGTTATTGGAAATAGCTAAATAAAAACGATGTGTAGAGGATACAGCATGTGCATTCCTTTGAACGTTACACACAATTTGATTGTTTGCATTTAAACAATGTACGTGTAAATTTAGATTGACATTACATTTAGATATTTAATTTTATTTATATTATTTATATGAATTGAAAGTTGTGAACAATGGATAAATCATCGATCTACATAGTATTACACCTTTAACGAGAGTATTGAGATACTAAGGGATATTTATTGATATTTGTAGCCTTCGAAACATCAGCTGAGGATGAAACAGGACTTTGCCTTAATTATGAAATAAACAGCAATAAGACCAAGTTCTACTGGAGGAATTGTAACGACAATATACAGACAATATGCACGTTGAGTAAGAAATATCCTAATATCGGTACAACTTTATATCTTTCAATTTTTACCCGTGTAATGAAAAAACATGACTTTAGTTCTGATTCATTTATACTTTTTACACATCAGATCTCCCCATCTAGTATATGTATCGATACATAATTATTTTGTAATTTCTAAAATTGGACTATCACTATTAATACGAACACAAAAGGCATTTCAACCATTTTTTTATTAAATAGCGATCATTGTAAACGTTAACAAAAAAGGACAAGAAATAAGTGTTACTTGTAACATTTTGCAATACATTCATTGTTAGATTCATTTGTTTGTTTGTTTACATTACATTAGAAAATGGTTCCGTTGAAGTATTATCAAGTGTAGAAAATACTCAAATAACATGGAAAGATGCAATGAACTTGTGCTTGGAAAACTCAAAGCATCCAACAACAGTAGAACATCTAGACCAATTGCAAGGACGAGAAACATCTCTTTCACCGTCTTGGGCAGGAGTCATTTTAAGTGATGCAATTTACACAATTAATGGTTGGTGATTAATTTGGTTAATAGAAACGATTTAAACGATTTAAAAGTAGGAACATATATGTCTTTAAGAAATAGATATTAATAATATCTAGACCCGAATTAATTGTATGAAATCTCTAGACCTCTTTATATTTTATTTCCTTGCACTTGATATATATAACATTCCATTCTGCTGTGTAATAACTGATAATGTAATATCCTCTTCACCCGAAAATTAAAATTGATACACAATATACAAGGATATTATATCTTGAAAGAAGATACCTGATTTATCGTGCATACCTTTTGTTCGAGGCAATTGTTTTTTATCATTGTGTCAGTAAATAAGCAGTAATAAGCAAGTGAATTCTCGTATTACTGAATTCAACGATTGCTTTCATTTCAGTTACATTAACATTATACGATATTATCTATCATATATTTCTTCCATTACTTCATTTTATATACCGCAGAAGACATGTCAAAGACAAATAAGAAAATAATATTACTTGAATGAAGAACCTTTATTCATTTCGTTTTTGTATTTAATACATTTTAATACATGTCATTTCTAAACAGATTCTGCTACAAGACAAACAGAGAAGAAGTTCGGATATCTTCAGAAAAGTGGACAGAAAATCGTGTTAAAATTTGACAACAATACATCTTCATCAAGAAAAATCCTTTGTACAAGTGGTATAATAGTGTTTCCTTTTTTAACAGCACATTTATTAATTTACATTTTTTCCTTTGTTTTGAATTTATGCCATATAAGCTCTATTCTTAAACTCATATCGACTACAGTATTATATTATCTTCACAAGTTTCATTACGATATAGGCATGGTTAGTTGAACGATTGTATTATTAAGCATTTCTATTTTGTTATAAATATTGCAAAACATTCGAATATTAAGCAGATGTTTTAGAATCATCAAGTGATAAAACAACATCTATATCAAGTACAACCTCAACGGGGACAACAGTGAGCCGTGACTCCGCTTCTACAGTAGGTCAACAATCACCGGAAACTTCACCTAAGACGAAAGACACAAAAGGTTCGAAAGAGATAAATAAAAGTAAATTTCAAAGATTACTTAATGCAATATCAATACATGGCGTTCTCCACAACCAGGATAGGCAGAAACAAACTTTTAATCTTAAGTAAATGATAACTAGAATGAACTGTGTGTAATTAAGTTAAAAAAAAACAACAACACCGTGTATATTCAGTAACGCCGGAATGTGAAAATAACGCACGATTCGTGCAATAAGTAACGCAGAATTGTGCAATAAATGGCGTATACCTGGCAGGATTTCCAACGCGGTAAGTAAGCTGGCCAATATATATCTTATTTAACCGAACTGAAAAAATCAATAGCCTCATACGGCTGCGAAGACATAACTCTTTATCCCTCATCAAGATTGTTTCCACGAAATTGTTTCCTTTTCAAGATCATTCGTGAAAATGATGGCTTGACCACCGTTTTGAGCGAGATTTTGACTTTTTGTCGGCTATTATAAGTACAACAATGCATAGTATACGGTATAATTTCGATTTTAGGTAGGCAAGTGACATCTAATCAAATTCTGGTGATATAAAAAATTGAATTAAGCTGATGAAATGAGATTTAAGTCGCTTTTATGAGGTAACGCCGATGTACGTGAATCGTGCTTTGCGATAACGCCGGAAAATGTGATTTTTTCATATATGGTACTGAATTTGTTTCAAGCACTTAATCGACGAGTATTAGCACTTTTCAAATATATTTTTGTGTGGAAACTTTAATTCATTTTATACAGAATTTATTTTAGTTTGATTGCGTAGAAAAAAGACACAATCTCGAATCCGTCCCTGAAACCAAAGAGCAATAAGCTTCCTAATAGAAGTCTTTGTTGAAGTGAGAACAAAGCAATGTTCTTACTCAAGGAAACAACGGGGTAGCAAAAGGGTAGCAATTTCTCAATACCTTTTGAGATGGTAGTTATGAAAATGGGTTTTGTTAAATTATAGAATTGTTCATTGTTCTCACTCTTTATTAATTATAAGACATGAAGAAGTCCACTTATAGACCTTCATGGCATGGATAGATAAAATCTTCCACAAACACATCTCTATTAGCTCTCCATATACTTGTAGATTGAGTAAGTATCCAAAATATATTCAACCTATCTTTAGTCTATGCCACCCTTTTCCTTGAAAATTTATGAAATGGTTTTGCTCTGCTGTGAACTTGGAACAGTTCAATCAAAGACTGGGAGATTGCTATTAGATATTTAATGTATTTGTACAAATGAGCTACTTGAGTGAGCAAATGGTCACTAGTATGGATGTGACCTGGCTCTGTACTGGTGACCTCTTTTAGGGTTATTAGTCCTGTTAGTTTTGTAAACATCTACAGTAATGCCTAGCGTAAACTCTTATGGTAGATTCATATGTTTTCCCCGTACAAGTTTACATATAATAAGAAACCCTAAGAGTAGGATAAATATTTACCCCAAGGGTAATAATTTATTTAACTTTATCAGAGGACTATAAGGTTATGCTTTTACAAGTTTTAAGCATTACAGTTTCTAAGTAAAATATCTTTTGAATACAAGTTACTTCTTATATTAGAGAAAAAATAAATCAAAAAAATAATTTATTTTCACATAAGTTCACCAGGCAAATTGCTACAGCCAAATATGTGTTTTGATTTGGTTTAATAAAGTGCATATGGAGACTTTCAAGCTTTACTGGTGCATTATTTCATGCATAAAATATACAGACACTTCTTCTCTTGATTGTTTTCTATTATTTTTTATATATTTAATTAATTTATTTGAAAACTAAGTTTATTGTTCTTATTTTCTAACAAGATTAGACGTGGGCAGCATGTTCACAAATATTAATTTTATTTCAGGTCACAATTTTCAAATTGTACTTAATTACAATATGCAATCAAAATATTGAAAGTTTGTCAAGATATGATTATCATATATTTCTTAATTAGTTACGAAGAAAATACATTGACTATAGGTCGCAAATAACTTTATTATATTCGCCGATAAAAGGCGTTAAATCTGTGTAATAATTCTGTACCATATAAGACAAAAATCACATTTTCCGGCGTTACCGCAAAGCACAATTCACGTACATCGGCGTTACCTCATAAAAACTGAATGAATCACATTTTATAAGTTTATTTCCAATTTTCTTTATCACAAGAAGTAAGGTTAATGTCACTTGCCTACCTAAAATCGAAATTATACGGAATAATATGCACTGTTGTACTTATAAAAGCCGACAAAAAGCCAAAATCTCGCTGAAAACGGTGGTAAAGCCATCAATTTCACGAATGATCTCGAAAAGTAAACAATTTCGTGGAAATATCTTGATGAGGGATAAAGAGTTATGTCTTTGCAGCCGTATGCGGCTATTGATTTTTTCAGTCCGATAAAATTAAATATATTTTGGCCAGTTTTCTTACCGCTTTAGAAATCTTGTCAGGTATCCGCCATTTATTGCACGATTCTGCGTAACTTATTGCACGAATCGTGCGTTATTTTCACATTCCGGCGTTACTGGATATACACGGCGAACAAGCTCTCCATCACACGGCACAAATGAAAACATAAGATAAGGCTGGAACACGTTCATGGACGGCTGTAGATAAAGCTTGTTGTCGCCCTCACCCGTAATTTAGTACTGGCTTAAGCAGAAATCTACTTTTAATGTCGATTACCATTTTTTGATGTGTCACGGTAACGTATTAATGTCTAACAGCATTGTTAGTGTGTTACGGCAGTAGTATAGAATATAAAATGAAATACTGCTCTGTATCTCCAAACAATCTAAGGATCGCAATTCTCGTTTCCTACTACTATACGTAGAAACAGTAAATGAATAAATGTTAATGAGGTAGAACTAATTCTCTTTTCATTCCAAATTAGTTTTAAAAATTTGATAAGCTTACAAAGAATACAGATGCTATTTCAAAACCATTGTATCTGCTCTGTTGTATGCAATTGATGGATATAGAAACTATAGATAATGAAAATATTTCTGTTTGTATATAAAAAATAATCATTTGAATTAAACAAGATAGCTACACATAAATGATAAAGAAAAATTCCACTCAATATTGAGAGAAAATTGACTTAAATAATGTGCTGATTTGTAGTATAAGTTCGAACATAATGGCTCTTAATTTGATTGAAGTATTAGCTGTAACTTTAAATGTTTCACTAATCATCTAAAATATTGCTGCATTATACCTTTTCACATTCCTGAAAAAAAAAAAAAAAAAAAAAAAACAAACGAAAGAAAAACCAAAAAAAACCCCATATAAGACGGTTTATTAAAAACCAAGTTTGTATTGACTTTGATTAATTAGAAAGAAGGATCGTTTGGAAATTGTGGGATTTGCACACATGCCCAATAGTAAATGTGTTTCTTAACTGAAAATGAATACTCTTCAAAAAGGAGGTTCTGCATTAGGCATCTTAAACCTTAACGCAAAGGGGTATATCTTTACATATAAAGCAAACCAAATCGATTTTGAAAAGGTATAAATGATTGGATAACACATTCATTTTGAAATATTGATTTGCATTTTTGCAAATATGGTATTAAAGATAATTCAAATCATTAAGAAAATAGTAACACTTTTATAAATAAAACATAAAAGTTTCAGTAATGTTGTCTTACAGAGATGCAAATATATTACTATAGTAAAATAAAAAACAAAAATTGAAATGTTTTCCGAGACCCGAAAATCTGAATGTGTTTCTTAAAACCACAGTTGATTTAAATATGATATTTGCAATTTTTTAGATTCTACATTTGGAGTTTCTGTGGGAATTTCTGTTAGTGTTGTCATTATTGTCGTGGCGGTCATTGTAATAATTGTGCAATTAAAAAGACGGTAATGTGTTATTTTTATTAACATCGATATAATTGACATTTTAATTTTAAAGGTTAATCCTTAAGATTTCAATTTATTTCACTGACATTTTTGTTATTTTCTTAAAAAAATCATTTTCTGCGTTAACAACTTTTATCACAAATGTGTTAATTGACATTTAAAATGATATACCTTGTTTGTTCTTGAAATGTCAGAAACAAAATTTTAAATCTGAATGTGTTATTTCATATTGTGAAATATTTGCATTGTATAAAATTTCACACCCACACATTATTATGAAAAAAATATATGCACAATTTGTAATTAATAATTTGAAAGAAAATATTTTTTTTCCAGTGGGATTATTCAAACTAAATGTTTTAGAAAAGCCGAACCTGAATGTTCTGCATATATTTCCACCGGAATACATCCGGGCTTTAAAAATGATAAAAATGCCTACGAAATGTCTTTAGGTTCTCCTTATGATCAAATTGATGATTTAGGACTCTCATCAGAACGTTGCTCTGATAATGAAGGAACTGATAATGTCATTAGCGGACACACATACTTTATCCTTGAAAAACATACATGGGAACCTGATACCGACGACAACCTTGAAAATAAGACAAAAACAGAAACATGCAATGTCTATAATGTACTGAACACAAATGGAAACAACACTGGGAGCAATGAGTCTGGAAATACGTACGATACTACTGAGAAAGTAGCCATGAAATTGAAAGCTCAGCACAATAAGAATGTAGGTGACGATTCGTCGGAAAACACGTATAATCATACATGTAGAAGACCAGTTAAGGTAGGCAAAACTGACAACGTATATGGTATTCTTAACAATGTTGAAGGTGAAAACAATGCTGTTGATACAAGAAATAAAAAGAGCCAGTTTAATGGAGGAGACACGTACAGTCATATCATGAAGAAATATTAAACGATTGTAGTGTAATACTATGACAACTTTGATGCTGTTGAAATAACATTCAATTATTGAATATCTATTTTGTTTTGTTTTGATATACTTTTCATGATCAAATGTATTCGGATTCAATTAAACCTTATCGAATGCATGTAATATATCTAATAAGATGCTTGTTATAGTGTATAAATCATACTGTAAAAAAATGTATCACAAGCAACGATCATAACGATTCGACAATGACCCTTGTTTTTTAACTCGAATTTTAAAATTTGATAGATGGTTTTTGTTTTGTTTTATTCTTATTTTGTATCTTTAATCGTAAAAAATGTTTGTTTTATTGTTATTGTATATCTATAATCTTAAAAAATGTTTGCTGTATTGTTATTTTTATACTTATAATTTTGATTTTTTTGTTTTATTAATATTCTATAACTTTAATCTTAAAATTTGTTGTTTTATGTTATTTTATATCTGAAATCCAAGAAGTATCTGAAAACCCATACTACATTTATTCCATATTAATAATTCAATCTAATATTGGATTCAATACAACATGTGTACAAAGGAGATCGAAAGATTTAGAACTGTTATTGTCTAAATGTATAGTTTGACATATCTTATTTTAATTAAGATTTAATTAAAAATGTCATTGTCTTGCTTATTATGCTATGCAGCTTGCAAATCAATCCTGTTATTACTTAAAAGTGTATTATCAAAGCAAATTTAAGCAAATAAATATATATCAATGAATGTGTTTTTTTTATAATCTATTCCTTTGAATCTAACTAAATATTAAGTGACGATTAGAGTACATAATAATAAAATAACAAACAAAGTTCGTTCATAAAATCGTGCCGGCACTGCTTATATGCTTAATCGATTTGTATTAGGAAAAACACTATGTTTATTTTTCCGAACTGAAAAACAAAACAAGCAAAAAAAATGTAGCCAATTTATATAATAGTGAATGTTGACAACCTTGTCTCAGCTTTTATATAACTTACAAATGCTATTGGATCTTAGCCTTTTTCCTAATGCTTTGTAAAATGTATAACATTCATTACCTAACGTTATAAAATAACTCTAGACTGTTTCTTAGCACATTACATTAAATACAGTATATCCGCGGCATTAAAAGGCTGCTGCGCCTAGCCGCTATCCCTCATGAACATACTCAATCTGACCACATCTTCAATTTTCATATTATTTTGTTGTTTCGATTGCTTTTGAGGGATTATTTACTACTGGTATAGCATTGTTAAAATAGCATGTCGTTAAATGTTCCGTAGGCTATGTTTTAACAAGTAGGGTAACGAACTATAATTGCATTCAGGTATGTTTAAATGGTAAGTTACACACATAAGGCGGTCGATTCTTACGTTGTATCCATACTTGAAAGTTAGCCCAGGTTCTTTAGTAATGATATTGTTGAAATCTTGGTCGAAGTTCAGGGTGTCATATTACCAAGACGCTAGAAGAAAGTATTAAAGGTAATAGATGCAAGCAAGTACAATTCTAATCTTTGGCATTTCAAAAACGCTAAATGTTATATCGCTTTGGTATGATCAATGTTGCTTTGTCGATTATCTCTCATAAAGCTCAATCAAATCGAATCTATATTTGGCAAAAATTCAAATGCTTATGAAATTGAAAATGCAATGTAATGTAATACAGACTTTATTCACTGAGCCGATGCTAATACTGACAATCGATGACAGTCTACACACAATTTTGCGCTGACCGTGTGCTGTAGCACTCTGAATTAACTTAATGTGTGACCCTCACGTTTCCATATTCCTATAGGCTTCTTTATCGTAATCTATCAATGTCTGTGCACCAAAGTTTTTACATATTGGTCTTGATTTTTCTCTGCCCTTTCTTTTTATCTTTAACAACGTTGTTAAACCTTCTTAATGTAACATTTTCTCAATGTAGATGTGTACATGTTTTGTCAAAGGTGTTCGTTTTGTACTACACTATCCGGGTCACTTCAAGATCGGGTATAAATCTTAATTATAAATATAACACTTCATCAGAGCTTGAAGAATTGATAGATATCAAGTACTCGTATTTAATAACTTAGTGCTATCTTCAACACAGTGAGGAGAGATGTTGCTAATATTGTTATAACTTGTAGCCCGACCCATTCTCGTGAATATTTGATTTTGTATATGTAAACTTACATGTTTTTATGTAAAAGTATTATTGAACTAATAGCATAGTGACTGCACTAAAATGATACATGATTTTCTTTAAGCGCATTATGACATGTTTTACGCTTATAGGGTCTGAAATCTTGAATCTGGTGTTCTAAAGATATAAAAATTAAAATGTGTTTTTAGAAAACAACAACAACAACCATAACGATGATATGATAAAGAGTTCTTCTATGCGCCGATATAAAATCCAAATCCTATACTATACTGAATATTAAGACAAATGTTAATATTCTGCATGTACCTGCCAATAGTTATATACACAGAATTGAAGCAGCAGATGTTGTTTTAAGCGAATTTGACAAGTTAAAACAGGCGCGTGTAATATGTTCATAATGTTGTGTGCAAATTGTTTCTTAAAATTGTTATTCATGTCCATATTTTGATATGTAAATAAATCGTTATGTTTTCTTTGGATCAAGAATGTCATATGTGTCAGTTTCCTTTGCAGCCGGATCGATACTGCAATAAGCATTTATGTTATCTAAATGAATGTCTAGCCTTGCGTCTACATTCACATAGTAATTTAGTTCGCCCATTCGTTCATTACCGGCCTCTTGAACTTCTTCGTAAGCGGAATTGGTTTCAGCTGGATATTGATCAGGAGTGTTTCTTAGACAAATACCTAATGCAGCACATTTGATTACCGTCCTTGGAATCTTTCCTCTGAAAAAATAAAATTTCATTTTTCAACTTAAAATAGAAATCGTTTTAATGTGTTTATGCATAATTTTGTTTAACAAAATGTAGAATCATTGGAAACAGGAAATGTTCACAAAATTATTACTCGTTATCAAAACTAAAATACAAGTTCTTATAAAACATATTTCCTAACATTACTTTATTTAAAACACATGTATTTATTCAAGAGTATTTTTACCTTTTTCGTAACACCAAAATCACAATGACGATTACTGCCACTAAGATTACAAGTGTAACTGATACACTTATAGGAATAATGACGTCATAACCTGGAATGTGAATTACACTTTCATTACATAAACCACGGCGCAGGATTTGATAAAGCCATAAAAGCATAATACTTGAATAGTACTCATAGTACTATTTAAATGTTATGTCCTTAATTTTCTCAAAAATTCAATATTCCATCAATAGTTAATTCTAAATCGAATTAAGAGTGCATAGATGCATTTGGGGATACATAATATAACAACAACACTGGCACTGAAACTTCGTATCACCTATTCATCAAAAAACACACAATTGCAAACTTTACTGCAGAGGATCCAATTAAAATGCATTCAAGTTTAAATATTGTTCACACTGGTTTTTACTCCGAATCTTTTCTTTGGAGGTTTTGTCCGATTAATTGAATCTATTTTAGGTGTTTAACATACTGTAAAAACATTATTTGTATCATAGTTTGGAGGCTTTACTGTTGAAAACGTGTCAGAGTTGAATGGTATACAAATACATGCACATTGCGTTAACTGGCATGCAGGTTACCCGCACTTACTGTCTGTCTAAAGCATGTTCGTTGATTGACTTTTTTTCTGGGGTTTTTGAGACGACATGGAAAGATATATCAATAGAAAGATCATATTCAGATACTCGTATATTGGTTATTTTTTCTCGTGTTAAATTATGTAACGACAGCTAAAATGTTTTTTTTATATTTGGCTATAATACAAAAGGGAAAGAACATCAAAACACTCGGCAATCAGATTTATACAAGGTGGCTACGCCTTCTCGTACAAATCAGATAGCTTTGTATTTTTATATTCTTCCTATTCGCAACAGCACTTCATAGTAGGGTGACATATGTATTGATCTAATAATTTCACGCTGATTCGTATAATAAATGATTTACAAGAAACGAAAGATATATTGCAGATATAAACAGTCTACCAATAAATATTGATATGTAAACTATATAATGTAAATATTTGTATAGAAAACATATAAGTATCATTAGAAAATACGTTTACATTACCTAGATCAATAAAATGACTCAAACAAATATGATGTGGCAGTGATTTATGAAAAGTGTATCAAACTTTCACTCACTGTCGGGTGAACTAATCCGATTATTTACTGGACCTTCTGTACTGCTCATGAATGTTTCATTGTAAATTGGAAATGCGGATGTTTTTTGAACACCCGTTGCTTCAGACAAAGATGTACCGTCTCCCGTTGGTAAGGTATTAACATCTTCTGGTTTCGTCGCTATGTCAGCAAGAAAAATATATTCTTATCTTGCAAAAACTCACACTACTTATGAAAGTGCCGAGTAACATAGATAATTTTAAGACATTATCTCCTTTTATATTTTATTTTTAAGTCGTCTATTCGTTTGTGACGAAAGATGCTTCCCTTTTTAATCACAATTCGTTAAAATGCACATTGTGTTGTTTATTAATTTGTGTACATTTTTTGTTTTAAACAATTCATCTAATACTTTTTTATTTATGTATACACATACTGATATATAAACCCATGTTTGTATTGAATAATAAGAGAAATAAAAAGTAAAAAGTAAAAAAAATCCGCATAAAATAATATTTTGATTGCTGAATAATCTATCTATTTTTTGTACTCTAGCAATTAAGATGTCCCTAACATGCGTTCTGTTGGGCGTAATCATCAACAACTTTATCATCACCATCATCAACATATACATACTAATAATTACCACCAGCATTATAGTGATATTAAACAAGTGTTCTAACAAAAACAAATGTTGCTGAAATGCAGCAATTGAGAAGCTCCGCGCAAGAACTAATTACAAATACCACACAAAATCATTCCCAAACAAAAGTCAATTTGTATTTAGATTAAGGTATGACGATCCTTATGTATTACCTCCGCTATGAAGAGTATTTATATAGGCTGTAACTACTATTCTCAAATTCCTAATTGGGTCTTATAATATATTAAATAAAACTTGAAACTTGTTAACAACATTGAAACTTAGGGCAATGGGTTCCAACCCCAGAAGAGTCAACTTCTTTCTTTCTTTTCTTTAACAGTATTTATTATTTATGTATCTCAAATATCCCTTTTTCGAAGAAAAATACATCTTATTACAATTATTTGATTAATATAGGTATTTATTGACTAATTAATGCTAAATCTAATGGCAAATATGGTACCTGATATTTTCGGGGTCGTCCGTGGCCGAGTGGTTAAGGTCGCTGACTTCAAACCACTTGCCCCTCACCCTATCATAATCAATTCATTGTCCTATACTTTACCTATATTATGTTATAATGGCTATTTGCTATATGTAGTTTAATGAATTGACTCATTTTGCGGTATTTATCACCATATTCCTACTATGTGACTAGCACAGTAAGAGTTAGTTTTCATATATTGATCTTTTTCTGGTAATTTGCGCGGATTTAAGTGCCATTTTTAGTGTGTAAATGACTGTCTTAGTTGACAAAATTAGCTGAAATCTAGAGACATGCTGCTTTTATTAAATAGACACAGAAAATTTTGACAAACTTAAAATTAACATTCAAATGTAGGAAAATGTATAAATTAAGAGTGATTCAATAAATAAGTAGCCATTAACTAAAAATTCACTTACTTGTTTGAAGGAGGTACCGCTTACTACCATTACTGCTCTTCGTAAAAGAAAGAAGTGTAATGTTTCCACGTTTAGTAATATATCCATACTGTGAAACACTATTTGCACTTATAACATTTGAAGATTCTACAAAAATGAATAGGTCAATCAGCAAAATTATAAAGCACACTGAATCAATATTTTGAATGTGTTTATAACTATCAAATTAGGCACACAATTTTATTTAAACTTTAGAATGTACTAACAGAAGAGAAATCCTAGGTTCTGCATAGCTGACAATACAAAAGTAGTAAGTGAAAGGTGTTGTGACTATATTTTGTAAAACAGGTTTATCGGATCAGTTCATAGCATGAGACATTCTGCTTTCCACAGAGTGTAATTAAAATCTGAGAATGATTAATGATAAATAACGTTTCCTTATGACATCTATGAGTATATTTACAAACTTATATTTTAACATATTTTATTAATCTTGAACTTTCTTGAGAAAAAATACTACTAATTATAAAATGATATGAATAACTGAACTTATTGACTGGCAACAAAATTCATCTGGGAAAGCAGTCCCTAAAATAAATTTTACCTCCATTTGATATTTGTAAATTGTATATGTTTTAACTGATATAACATTGTGACATTGATAAAACAATGAGTAAATTTATTCACTTATCAAAATATCATCTCACCATTATATTTGTAGATCATATCACTACGTATAACATTTGTCTATGACGGACCATAACCCTTACCAAAAAAAGGGCTCTCTGGTGAACATTGCGGCAAGTTTGCCGCAAACATTGCGGTGAGTTTGCGGCAAACTACTTTCAGCAATTATTTACCATGCAAATGAGGTTTGCGGCAAATTTGCCGCAACTCATGAGGTTAGCGGCAAACTTGCCGCTAACTATAGGGGGAGGTAGCTTCTGTTTGCGGCAAATTTATCGCAAACCTCATTTGCATGGTAAAAGTTTGCAGATGTTCGCCAAAAGTTTGCGGCAAATTTGCAGCAAACTTCATTTGCATAGTAAGTTTGCTGATGTTCGCCAGAAGCTTTTGGTAACACTGCGGCAAACTTCATTTGCATATTTGCCAGTTTCAGCAAATATGTTATGGCGATATTTTGGCAAACATTTTGGTAAAGTTCTGGCGAACAATTTTTTCAAACATTGGAATAATAAAAACTAGCTGAATTATAAGAAAACAAATACATATTGGTTTAACACATTTTTTCAATAGAAAATAAAAAAAATATTACAAACATATCAGTGGAATAAAATGAAATTTGATAAACTTGTAAAATAAAGAAATTAATTCCCAAAAAGAGATAAATTTTACACACATTTTATTAGCAACTGATTCTATACATATTTGACTTTCATAAATTTCCACTCTTTAGTTATGATGCTATCATGAATTGTTCATATTACTTAATAATCAATTAAAACAAGAGCCGGTTGAACCGGGGTGATCCTAGATACAGAAAAGTATATCTTTTGAAGTTTCAGGGTTATGTCCCAGACAAAGTTCAAAGTGTGATAATTCCAAAATAGTTGTAAAATCCAACTTTAAATAACGACGTTATGGGCCGTACACATTTTTGCTTCAAGGTCATGCTGTGACCTAGACCTTCAAGGTAATGACCCAAATGTTGCATGTGACATATCGTCTCAATATGGTGATCATTTCGGTGAAATGGTTGTAAAATCTGACTTCAAATAACGAAATTTATGGGCCGGACACGATTTTGCTTCAATGTCATGTTGCGACCTTGACCTTCAAGGTATTGACCCAAATGGTGTGTGCGACACATCGTCTCAATATGGTGATCATTTCTGTGAAATAGTTGTAAAACCCGACATCAAATAACCAAGTTATGGGCCGGCACAATTTTTGTTTAAGGTCATGCTGTGACCTTGACCTTCAAGGTAGCGACCCAAATGTTGCGGGCGACAGGTCGTCTCAATATGGTGAGCATTTCTGTGAAATAGTTTTAAAATCCAACTTGAAATAACAAAGTTATGGGCTGGACACGAATTCAGGTTCCTATGTACGTACAGACAGACGGACAGACAACCCAATGACTCTATGGTCCGCCGAAATTTTTCGGGGAGCATATAAACAATGTTTGACAATAGCTATTATTCAGCACATGTTGCAGTATTTCTTAGCACCATAAATGGGAAATATAATATTGTTGTAAAAGATAAAAATCAGAAAAGTTACAGTTTGAAATCTTCTATCTGGACAAAAAGTTTCATTCAAACATGAACTGGCATGGAATAACATACATACTTCGACATCCACTTAGACAAATCACTATTAATAACAATAAATACTAACAATAGCGTTATGTGTTATGCAAAAACAGACTAGACCAATAATGGCTTTCAAAATTGTAAAAATGAATCTCAAAAATATATTTTGGTCTTAAACAAACAACATATTTCATGGACATAATACCTTCAGATTTAAACTCATATGTCATATAACATTATGATTGTGAGCAAAACAATATCTGACACGAACAATTATGGCTTTCAAAATTGTTAAAATTAATCACAACAATATATTTGGGTCTTATACAAACAACGAATTTCATAGACATAATTTTTTGTTTGCTTGTTTTGGGTTTTTACGTCACATCAACACAGTAAAGGTCATATCGTGACGTTCAGGTGCCCTTCCTTGCATTATTTCAGGCACGAA